AAGTCCGACATCGAACGACAAGTTGCCGACGCAGCCTGAATAAACTGCGCCACGGCCGACTCCGCAAACAGGAGAGGATAAAAAGGTGAAGAACGCCTAAGAGCCAGAGCCCAAGCAGATTCCATGGAGGAACCCAGCACCGCCTGTAGACACGTGAGACGGGAAGCATAAAACAGGGAAACCGCATCCTGTAAAATCGGCGTGAACCCCGGGACGGACCCAAGCGTCCCCACATCCTCCACGAGCCAATCCGAAGACAGCTCCAGGAGGGAAAAGAACCGCAAGGCCGAACTCAAAAGGCCCCGGGCGCACAAGTCCTCCGCAACGAGCGCCGCCGAAAGGGAGGGAACCTGAACATGGAGCTGAATAACGCCCACATCGCGCGGAAGGGCAGGGGCAAACAAGCACTCATTCAGGTACTCAAGTTCGCCCCCCAGGAAAACCTGAAGCACTGTGGAAGCTTCCCGCCACTCCAGCGTGCGGGAACGACAGAAGGAATGCCAGGAATCCAGACCAAACAAGGGGCAGTCTGCTAGCCAGGACAACTCCGGAACCTCGTAACGGAGCCAGAAAGGGAACGAAGCCCCAAACCTGAATGTGGACGGATCCATTTCCGAGGCATAATCCGGGTCACGCAGGAGGTAAGCTGCAAAGGCCGCTCGCACCACACCAGGTTGGATGCGATAAGCCGAAAACCTCCGGAAGGACGGAACCGACGTACCCGGGGGAACACGGAACCGAACCCGGGGAGGGGCCGACACCAAATCCAACTCGTATGCAGAGGGGGGAAAAGAAAACCCCACTCCTTGTAACAATAAGCCCCGCACAGTGGGAAGAAAAACCCAGGCGGGGTCCAGCGGGGCCCAAGGCCCCCAAGTCAGCCCCTCCCCAGCCTCGAGGTCCTGCACCACAGGACCCAAGGCCGAGTCCTCTCCCCAAGCCCCGACCCCACAAGACAAGGACGGAGCAGCCGCTAAAGCTGGAGGAAGGAGGGCCCACTGGTCAGACCCTGAAGCTTCGGCCGGGAGACAAGACTCGAATGCCTATGCCACCCCCCCGGAAGGGGCACCCCCCGAAGCTGCCCGAGTCTCGAGATCAAGTAACCCCTGCTCCGACCCCGAAACCCTCAGACGCTTCGGGGCCGGAAGCAGGGGCGGGGGACCAGAACGAACAGAAGGGGAAGGACGAGGAGGTGCGGACTGAACCAGGATCGAAGCGACCCCCACCCCCAAGTCCAGGTCTCGAAAAGCAAAGCGGGGCAGCCCCGGGGCATCCGGGGAAGCAACCAACCAAGCGCGTTGCAACAGACGAAACCTAGACTGCAACGCACACGCCGCCTGTACCCAAATAGAATCATCAGAGGATTGGGTAAATTGAGTCACAAGCAAGCAGCAACACTCACAGGACTCAGGGTCAAAAGTATCACCGACCCAACAGGCAGCATGGCAGAGGCAAAAACAATGAGGGTCACCCTGAGACAAGGGGACCGAGCAACCCTCAAACTCGCACACAGCGAGTGGGGACTCAGGGGTCACATCCATCGGACCCACGCGCCCCCTAGGGGATTCCCAGGGTCCTGAGCGTTTACTTTAAGAGGACTCGCGCTCAGGTAGTCCCAGGCAGGGTGCTGCAAACTGGCACCCAAAACTACCAAGCAAACTTCTAAAGCTGAACCCCAGGGACGTGTACACTCACGGGGACCTAGCAGGGGGCGCCACCGAGGAGAACAGTGGAAGGGCAAAAACAAACTGAATAAAATGACAGAACCCCCCACCAGGCAAAAACAAAAAGAAAAACAAAACCCCGCAAGAGGACAGCGAACCCCAAGGAACAGAGCCGGCCGCGATGTTGGGAAATACAAGCTGAGCAGCACTCTGCGCCCCTACCAGTGCAAACTGCCTCTTACCTGCCGGTAACAAGGGAGAACAGAACACCCAAGAGCCCAACAGGCGGCCGAAAAACCGAAAGGTAAAACGGACCAGCAGAGGCAGACCCCGAGGAGCCTGTGGAAGGTGGCCCCAAGCCCCAAGGGCAGTACTTACAGGGCACCTAGGGAAGGCAGCCCTAGGCGCATGCAGCCCGAGTACTGAAGATAACTCCTGGCTCTAGCACCCACAAAACCAACACCACACGCAAAGCACAGTGCAGTAGCGACACCGGAGCCAGAGCACACGACCATCGCCTATAGCATCAGCCTCAAGAACTGAGGTGTGGGTAGCCGGCGCGGGGGGTCTGGGGCTCCCCCTTCCCCCTCCCGGGGAGGGGGGAGCTGCGCAGACAGCGGCGCGGCGGTGTGTGACGCCACACTAGTTTGCTTGTTTTCGGTTGGGGAGTTCTATCCACTAGTTCGGGTTTTGGTAGCAATTTTAACCAGAATAGGGGTTTGTTTTGAGGCGCTTACCTTTCTGGGTACCTGTTCCGGTCGATGGCAGACATAGAATGCTTCCAACCACACGGGGGCTTCTATAGGCCATTGCTCCCCTTGCCTCTCTGAGGGGGCCCGGTTCTGGCCGTGGTCCCCGGTAGGCCTAAGAACTCCATACACATGACTGATGCCAAAGTCTGATATTAGCATATCAGCCTGGGATAGCTCCGGGGAGCCGACGGGGCTCCCCCCAGAAAATATATTGTTTTTAGATGAGAATCCTGGAAAAACTGTACAGAGATACAGTGGTACCTCGCATAACGATTGCCCCAAAAGACGAATATTTTGGGTAACAAACGGCCCGATCGGCGTCAAATCGTCCCGTATGACGAACGCTGGTGTGAGTAACGTCAACACCACATGGTGGGGTTGCGCTGCTTCTTGCACATTCTTAGACGCCTCCGACGATGCACATAAATTATGTTGTTCTTGTTTAAAGATGCTAATGATGCTGGGATATAAAAGGGTGACTGCTGAGATGTTGCAAAGCATTGACGTTTTTGTAGGAAAAAGAAATGAAATGTCTGATATACAACAAATGTCAAAAAGGTTCGTTCGGTGTTCGGCAGGTAGGCTGCTCCATTATAACAATCTTTCTTTGTTTCAAATGTGTTCCATTTGTTTTTTATTTGTCATTTACGTCTCAATAATGGAGAAGCCTACCTTACATACACTGAATAAACCATTATGACATTTTCCTTTCTTCAAATGTGTTCAATATTTATTTTTCATTTGTCTTATAGCAAAAGGTTCGTTCGGTGGTCGGCAGGTAGGCTGCTCCATGTTTCTTACATACAAAAAACGTAAATAATAAAAAAAATGAATTATTTTGAAAACCAGTACAAATGTCAAAAATGTTCGTTCGGTGGTCTACAGGTCGGCTGCTCCATGTTTCTTAAAAAAAAAAAAAATAAAAAAAATAAAGGAACTGTTGAAACAATTTGAAAAATGGACAAATGTCATAAAGGTTCGTTCAGTATTTGTCTGGTAGGCTGCTCCATTATTGAGACGTAAGTAACAAATACAAAACAAATGGAACACATTTGAAACAAAGAAAGATTGTCATAATGGAGCAGCCTACCCAACAAACACTGAACGAACCTTTTGCTATAACGAATATGAAAGACAAGGGCTGCTGGTTGGGTTAGTAGTGCGTGAGCAACCATTTGTGGCACACGTGCCTCTGGCTCTCAAACACCTGTCCCACACGGTGTTGAAAGACTGTGCTCAGTCGGTGCAATTCAGACCCTATTGTTTGAAGAACATAAGGGTCATAACATTAGTGAAGCTAGGCGCAATAAGGGCTTAACACAACGGTCGGATGCCAGTGATACAGCACCTATGAGGATGATACAGCGAGCGTATCCAGGTGTAGCTCTGAGCCCCACCCTTGCCATCTCTAATGTATATAGATGATACATAGATGAATCGTTTTCTGCGTTCAGTGATGATGCATCTGATACAAGTAGCATAGATGAACAGTGTTAGCGGCTTCCATGGTGGTGGTGTTCATTGATATTTTCAAGAATATCTGAATCTCTTCCTGACTGATGGACACTCTTTGAGGCTAGCTGAATTTCTTCCTGACTGATGGACACTCTTTGAGGCTAGCTGAATCTCTTCCTGTGTGGGACCTTACAAAGCGATCTTTTCAAGACTACCTTACAAATTGAGCTTTTCCTACAATCATTTCAATACTACTTTATGCTTTACAAGCTTGGCTACATACCACCTACAAGTACTAAAGCCAAGGGTGCACGTAAGTGCGTTATTTGCAAGCACACAGAACGATGAAACAGGAAACGAAAATCTATCTGTAGCTGGTGCAAGGAGAGCAAAGTCGCGCTGTGTACCATGGACTACTTCGTTGACTATTACGCACCTCCAAAGTACTGAGTGTGTAATACAGTGTGTTACTGTGTAAATAGTATGTTAAACTGTACATATTGTAATTTTAGTGAATTTTTACCACATAATATTGTGACAATGAACATTTATTGTGGACACACTACTGACACATGTATCACAGTTTCATGGAAAATTATGAACATTCTACTGTATACATATTGTAAAGGTCACAAATATGCATCATATACAATAAAAGAAATAAATAAAACCAAATTGGAAATGCATAGAAAAAATATCTGAAAATATATTTGTGGCAACACGTGGTGCTTGAATGGCCTGCGCGACCATGTCTGGGAGCTTCACACACGGACGACCAGCCCCTGATGACGTCACAGCGCACCTTGTCCACGCCCTCACAGCCAAAGTAAGTGGAATTTGGTAATTATTTTTACATAGACATGTTCAGGGACGGTAATTTATCATTTTACAAAGAAAAATTATATTTTGGGGAACATTTGATGTCATGCAAATGAAATTATGATGTCATGATTTCACTGGGGAAATCTCACAATAAACACAGTGCATCACACTGGTTACATGGGGGACACTCGTTTTGTATGACGTCCGTTTCACATGACGAACATGGAATGGATTAAATTCGTTATGCGAGGTACCACTGTACTGTGGAGTCAACCTAGATGTGTTAGTACCACATATACAGCCATACCTGCATTGATGCTAACAACATCCGGATCATAAAGGCCATCCACTGCAAGAAGCTGACATGAAAGCTGTGTATCACCGCAGTAGCCAACAGGAAACAATGGACGAACCGAGCGATCTGTTGAAAATTATCATGTCAACAAAGGTGAAACACCCTCTACCAAGATAAAGTTCTGGATTTTTTATTAAATTACCTTAAAAATCAACATATTACATAAATAATGAATTACATCTTGTAAAAAATCTATAGCATGAATAGACACCTTATAAGAGCACAGACTGTCTCTACTACAGAACATGCATAAACTTATCACAATTCACAAAGCACACAGTCTATATGATATACCTATATATATAAGGTACAGTCAAGGAAATATATTTCGTTATCCCTCAGTTTCTTGGAACATACAAAATAACAAAGTTGCTTTTGTTGTCATCGTAGTATTGGGTTAGATTATGAATGAATAGGTGCTTTCTAATGAAAAGTCTCATTGGTCAAAACACCACACACCGATTTATATACAGTAATTCATACTGCTAAAGAAAGGAAAATAGTGTAGAACAATGAATAAAAATGAATGTGGATCAGTGAAAAATACATCAACACAAAACATTTTTTCAAGTTAAAAGTGGTTTTTGTAAACATTTATATTTGCGTAAATATTATATATACTGTTTACCTGGTTGATGGGGTTCTGGGAGTTCTTCTACTCTCCAAGCCCGGCCCGAGGCCAGGCTTGACTTGTGAGAGTTTGGTCCACTAGGCTGTTGCTTGGAGCGGCCCGCAGGCCCACATACCCACCACAGCCCAGTTGGTCCGGCACTCCTTGGAGGAAACAATCTAGTTTCTTCTTGAAGATGTCCACTGTTGTTCCGGCAATATTTCTTATGCTCGCTGGGAGGACGTTGAACAACCGCGGACCTCTGATGTTTATACAGTGTTCTCTGATTGTGCCTATGGCACCTCTGCTCGTCACTGGTTCTATTCTGCATATTCTTCCATATCGTTCACTCCAATACGTTGTTATTTTACTGTGTAGATTTGGTACTTGGCCCTCCAGTATCTTCCAGGTGTATATTATTTGATATCTCTCTCGTCTTCTTTCTAGTGAGTACATTTGGAGAGCTTTAAGACAATCCCAATAATTTAGGTGCTTTATCGCGTCTATGTGTGCCGTATATGTTCTCTGTATTCCCTCTATTTCAGCAATCTCTCCTGCTCTGAAGGGGACAGTGAGTACTGAGCAGTACTCAAGTACTGTACTTTACATGAATGATGGTATCAAGACCGAATCACTGTACACTCCAATATTTAGCACATAATATTATGTATATTATGAGAGAGTGACATGAAGAGGTAGAGGGAGGGGGGAAAAAAAAAAAGAGAACTCCCCAAATAAAAACGAGCAAACAAGCATTATCTCTCATGAGCCGTACCGCCTGTCTGCGCAGCTCCCCCCTCCCTGGGAGGGGGAAGGGGGAACCCCAGCCCCCATGCCAGTGATCCACCCACCAGTTCTGAGGCTGGATGTCAAAAACACTCGAAAAACTGCCAACTGGAGGGAGGGAGGGAGGGAGGGAGGCCAGGGAGCCTCCAGGACTCACCAAGAAAATTGTGTTTCATTACATTCATCGCTGGTTTTCTGGGGGAAGCTGCTATGGCTCACCAGAGCTGCTTCAACAAAGAGGAAAACAGAGGGACTTACCCAGGAGGCAGTCGGTGCTCACATCTCAACTCGAAGTCGAGACAACAGGTTTCAACCGCTGGCCCAAAGCAACACAGGCCCAACTAGGCCTGTGTTGGGGTAAGAACATAACCAGGAACATTCATGAGGTAGCGTGCAGCCAGGACCCTGTTCGACCGCCCAAAACCCCATGCCTGAATGTCAGCCCAGGACATGTTACCGAAGATTGCAGCAAGTGTAGCAAACTTACTAATGTCATGGGCACGGGGATAGACCGCAGGCCGGCAAGACTGAATAACTCTGCGGACGACCCGAAAGACCCGAACTCGAGACCAGGGAAGAAAAGAAACCGGAACAACTCAAAGCGCATCCCCAGCCCCCGAGGCCGTGGCGCACAAAAGAACAGCGGAGAGCCGCAACCAGACACAACCATGATGCACCCCTGGCCTGACCAACCAAGCATCAATAACCCAAGGACCCCTTTGGACAGCAGCAGTCTCATTCTTCGCCAGAAAAGCAAGAGACGGCTGCAAACGAATAAACCTATCACCACGACCAAAAGAGCAGAAACCCCTGCGCCGGAGGAGAGCATGAAGCTCCCCAACACAACCCCCAGAGGCCAATGTCAACAAGAAAGAGCTTTGGAAAAACAATCCTGAACAGAAGGGGCCACAACAAACCGAGGCAAAAACAGAAAGGATAGAACTCTGTCCAAAGACTAGGAAGGCTCAGGCGGCGCATGAGCAGGCCGGATTCGAACAACGCCCAAGACAGCTTGCAAAACGGTGCAGAAGGAACATAAAAATTGAATGCAATTCGTAGGCTCCGCCAGCACCGCACGAGACAAGGTGATAGTATGTGTCAAGCCAACGGTCCCAAACTGCCACGGAAGAAGGACAAGACCACATCAATAAAAACTGCAGGATACCTATGAAGAGACAAAAAGAAAAGGAAGGACCGCCAGCAAAACCCCATACCGCCACCGAGACGAAGCACGCAGGTGGGACACCATCAACGAAGCCACCTGATCGCCAAATAGATGGTGAGAGACTCGAGTCAAAAGTAACAGACTTGAAGATTCGAGAAGACCGAACCATCCTCATCATGAACCAGACCGATCATTTGAAAGAGACGGAGCCCTGGGAAAACCCCTGGGGTGCAGACACCGAGCAACCAGCGCCTGAAGCCAAGGCTGGCAAGGAATCAGAAGGAATGTCCACCACGAAATCAGGAACCCAAACCCGGCAAGCCAGGAAAGAACCAACTCGGGTGAGCAGACACGCCTCGTTCGAGAGGAAACCCCCCCCCCCCAGGACCCCTAAAGAACCAACAAGGCCAAGTACGGATGACAACGAGAAGAAGCCGCTTGCCGAAAGAGCTGAACCGCAGACTCTGCAAACAGCAAGGACAAAATGGTGACGAAAACCTAAAAGCCAGGGGCCCAGGCCGAGGCCAATGAGGAAGCGAGCACCATGAGCCGACACGCGAGACGCGAAGCGAAAAATAGCGACACTGCAACCCGCAACCAGCTCTAGCCAGGCAGAATGATGCACACGTCGCCGAGTAATACATGAGGAGAGAATTATGCAGGACATGCACCGCACTAAAACAAAAATGTACGCTCCAGAAAAGGAACACAAAGAAATGGCCGTAGTCAGGGCTGAAATTCTAGCTCCCTCTGTCCCAACGAAAAGGAACTGTAGGGGCAGGAGTGGTTGATTGGAAAGCTACATCCTCCATCAGACATTGCAACACAGAAGCTGGTAGTAACATACAAGACGATGAAAGAACTTAGTTCTCTAACTGAATAGCGGAGCTGTCCAATCGCAGGGAAGAAAATGTACACAGTCCAGCCTAGCACCAACACTAGTATAGCCAATAAGCACATACGAAGACACACAAGGTGCAACACACCAATTAGAAACTAGCAAACTTATGGATTGTGTCCGATAGTGCAAATTAAACACGATCAGGGGTACGACATCAGTGTCAAGGCAAGCACGTGCACCACTGCTTGGTCAAAGTGTACACAACTAGATGTGATAGTGAAGATCATAACAAATAGTGAATAAGATAGCGAAGAAGTGATTCTGAATGTATAGCATTAGATATATCGGTGCTAAGAGGAACAGCAGGCTTACTGGTGATATATAGCGACAAGTTGGAGGGACCTATGCCTGGCAGCGGTGTAGATGGAGACCAGGAGGCCTACGAGGAGTAAACACGTCTGTCAACAGTACTTTTAACACCTGTTTGTGCTGTGGGATGTTTTGAATTGGCAGTAAGGTAAGGCCTCTCAAAAAATAGTCAGTCAATCAACGGTGTACAATGTTTTTGCATTTTAATAGTTAGTCCTGGATATAAGTTAGCAAACGGAAACGAACCTCAAGGGAAATATACGGCTCATGTAGGGACTAGTTTGTTGGCGCCCAGGTGTGAAAGACATACTACGCCCTACACCGAGGTAACTGCCTCCCCTCCCCTTCTCTCACCCCCCACCCCCTCCTACCATAGCACCAACAGTACACACACACAGCCTCTCAACCATAGGGCCCACACCCTCCCACTCTAATCTGCCCCACACACCCTCACCATCCCCTTCCTCTCTCCCACCTCCCCCCATACACACACACAGACACACACCTGGTATAGAATCCATGGTATAATAGGGCATGTATCGAAGCGAAGAAACTGAACAAAAAGGCGTGGAGGAACTTCCGGAATAACAGAACACCAGAAAGCAGAGAGAGATACCAGAGAACCAGGAATGAGTACGTCAGGGTGAGAAGAGAAGCAGAGAAAAAATTTGAAAATGATATAGCAAACAAAGCCAAGACTGAACCAAAGCTACTCCACAGTCACATCAGAAGGAAAACAACAGTGAAAGAACAGGTACTGAAACTTAGAACAGGCGAGGACAGGTATACAGAGAATGACAGAGAGTGTGTGAGGAACTCAACAAGAGGTTCCAGGAGGTCTTCACAATAGAACAGGGTGAGGTCACTGTGCTAGGAGAAAGGGAGGTAAACCAGGCGGCCTTGGAGGAGTTCGAAATTACGAGAGAGGAGGTCAAGAGACACCTGCTGGATCTGGATGTTAGAAAGGCTGTTGGTCCAGATGGGATCTCACCATGGGTACTGAAAGAGTGTGCAGAGGCACTTTGCTTGCCACTCTCCATAGTGTATAGTAAGTCACTAGAGACGGAGAGACCTACCAGAAATATGGAAGACGGCGAATGTGGTCCCAATATACATAAAGGGCGACAGACAAGAGGCACTGAACTACAGGCCAGTGTCCTTGACTTGTATACCATGCAAGGTGATGGAGAAGATCGCGAGAAAAAACCTGGTAACACATCTGGAGAGAAGGGACTTCGTGACAAATCGCCAACATGGATTCAGGGAGGGTAAATCTGCCTTACAGGCTTGATAGA